GCATTCCACCGCCCATGAGAATCCACGATGAAAAGATTGCTCAGGCAATCAAAGCCTAGACCTGTTTTGCAACTTCCCATTTATCCCGTCTTATTATCTTGGCAGGCTTGAAACCTGAACGTCGTGCATCAGTCACACGCCGGACATAAAGTCAGACAAGAAGTATTCCAACGTCAAAAGCACATTACTTCCAGAGATAAATGAGTCCTAAAACGCTGTAAACAAGGGGGATGAACCGAGATGTGATGAGGTGAAGGTTAACCTAGGATGAGGTAACTGGGTTCAAAGTCCAGGAAGTCTTTTCCACACGAGATTTCCTGATGAATGCTTCATCTATTCAGGCATTGTAAAGGAGAGGCAAAGGCAATAAGTGGGATGAAGAGTATTCCTTCTATACATGTACAGTCAAACCCAGATAAGATGCCACCATTTTTCCAGAGCAATTTTGGCGGTTTAACGAGGTTGGCGGTTTATGGAATATTTCATTTTAATTATTTGATAAAAAAAATGCTTGATTTTCCTCCAAAAGTTATAGAGATACAGGTTATGTAAGAAACTTCAGTAATTTTCCAAAGAGTATTGCTGTGATCAATGGATTACTCTTTCAGAAAATAAATTTTGCTGCGTCAGTTTATTCAAATTTTAAGATTAGGTCAAATAATTTTCAACAAAATGATCATTATTATTATTTTTTGTAAAAATACAAGATCATTGGCAGAAATTATAATTCTACCCCAACCTTGGCATTGTAACAAAGACAAAACTAATTGGAAACAACACTTTTGTTTCATCACTAATGCTGGCTGCAGATGGCGGTTGGCGTCTTATCGAGGTTTTCTATATAATTTAACATAGAGATTTGTTTCATTCAAAATTTTGGCGGATGGCAAGGGTGGCGCTTTATTGGGGGCGTCTTAACGGGGTTTGACTGTACTAATATTTTCAAGTAATATACCAACATTTTTTATTGTAATTTAAAAACGGCTGTATGCAAAATCATTTTGAAAAACTTTCCGGATTGGGGGTCTCATACTGGTATTCACCAAAAAATCCGTCCCCATACATACAAATTTCAAATAATTCCAGCAATGTAAAATTTCTAGGTTCCCAATAAACTTTCATAGCACAACAAATATAAGATTTAGCATCTATACAAAGATAACGAAATAAATTTTTATTCTTCTTCTTTGCTATGAATATATTGAATGACACAGTCATCAGATTGAAATTAAAAATAATGCATTACGAAGGCGAAATGTATTTTTATTCATTGCTCTCTGTGCGGATATTTATTGACATAGTCTTGAGGTATAAAATTAAAACTATTACAGTATATTAGGATGATTGTTGAGATATTATTGAGAGTATTTCGACTATCAATTATTGCTCCGCTCTAGCAAAAAAAAGAAGACCGGCATTGTTGTACCATATATGTAAAACAATATTTTTCAAAAATGGCTAATCGTTGTCATGAAGATATTGATTTCAGAAAAAAAAACGTTCAAGAGACTTTTTGAAGTACGTTGGAATATTTGTTGAATGTTTTGGAGGGAGCAGAACGATTGGAAAATAAGGCAAGCCAATACAGTAACAGTATTTCAAAATGAAAGAGTAGAAATTGTTATTGTTAAAAAGCTAGTGTTCAAATCATATGAAGGAATTCTTCCCTCAGCAACAAAATTTCATTAGGAAAATTATCATAATTCGTTTTGGTAATTTTCCAATAATGCAGCCTTCTGAATCAGAAACCAAGAAAAATAAAATACAATTATAAATGAATAAAAGTTGCTTCAACATCTCCAGAAAATTTCTTTTGAAATACAGTGAGACCCCAACATATGGACAATTTTACTTAGAGACACTTAGGACCCCAACAAATCTGGCCCAACATATGGACAATTTTAATCAGAGACACTTAAGACCCCAAAAACTCTGGCCCAACACCTGGACAACAGCTTGAGATAGGTAAACTTTTCTGACATTTTCCAGAAATCTCTTGAACAAATTGAGCTATTTATATTCACAATAATTCAAAAAAATGCTTCATTGTAAATTCATTCTAATTCATAATAAAAAATGATTTTGTGCATCTTTTTTCAGTGTTTTCAATCATCTGTGCACATCACAGCAAGATTTATTCTTAATCTTTGGTTTTTGAGCTCTTTATGATGCCAAAGGATCAGATTCTATCCGGTTTTCTGCTTCACTTTTGCTTTATATATGTTAAAGACTTTTGAGAAAAATTGAGAAAACAAGAGGAGAATTTGTAAGTAAATTTCAATTTTTTTTCATTCCAATGAAGCTGAGTTTGGTGTCAAATCAATGGATACAAAACATGATCCAGTAAAAGTGAATATACAAAGCAAAAATAATTTGAGAGCAACTTTGTTGATGAAGTCTTTTGTTTAAACTCAGCTCTTGTGGATTAAAAAAAAGGCCGCACACTGTTTTTAATTTTCAGAGAAGTGGTTTTAATTGGTTTATAATGAAGATATATTTTGAAGATTTGATCCCCTTCTTCCAAAGCTGACTTTTACTCATTTTTGGCAAGTCCTATACAGGTGGACACTCTCCAAAATCTTAACTACAATAATTTTCTCTGTACACTGCCATTTTTTTTGGTCGCATAAACATAGGGTTCTCTCATCCCCATGTTACAGGGCTTCTCTACAACAAAATTCAAAGGACCAGAAAAATTAATTGCACAGAGAATATCCTTTCAGTGAACCCCTCCAACATGGGGAGAGAACCGTGCAGTATGTCTACTTGATAATTTAGGGTGATGTTGCTGGGATTCTGGCAATGCCTAGATGTCACTCCCAAATCATAGCTGGTGAGCTGAGAGCTTATTAAAAATTTGGTACTTTCCTGTTATCTCAGTACCTACTTTCCGTGCACGTACCAGAAACTGAATTTCATTTTTCCGCATACTGCTGAAACTTATTTTGGGAGGTGGTTAGGTAAAGTTAGGTTAGGTCAGGTTATGTTAGTTACAAATATCTTTCAATTAACATAACCGGACCTAACCTAACCTAAAAAATACTGAATTTACAAG